AACAAATTAATAAATATGCTGTAGGTATAAGCAAAATAACAATGTGAGTTTAAAAATAAATGTATTAAAAGGCATACAGTTATTAGGTAACTGTAATGTGGTATTTTTATTTGAAGTTTGTGACAGGCTCAAGGGTGGCTCATGCCTGTAATCCCAGTACTCTGAGAAGACAAGGCAGGAGGATCACTTGAGCTCAGGAGACCCAGACTAGCCTGAGGACAGTGACACTGACCTCTACTAAAAATAGAAAAAAAATTATCTGGACATTGTGGTGGGTACCCAGAGACCCAGCTACTCAGGAGGCTAAGGCAGAGGGATCGCTTGAACCCAGGAATTTGAGGTTATTGTAGAGTTAGATTGATCCCACAGCACTCTAGCCTGGGGCAACAGAGGGAGACTTTGTCTCCAAAAAAAACAAGAAGTTCGTGACAAATCAAAACTGACTGGCATAAATGAAAAAATTATCGGTATAGTTGGCCAAATTTCAGTTTCGCAGTAGATAAGGAAATTTGGACTAAAGCCAAATAATAGGAAAAGAATTAGATAAAATAGATTTCTCACTTTCTACCTCTGCAATTTTAAAGACATTGGTTTCTTTGAACTCTTCATATATATTTCCAGCATATCTATAACTTTTATCATGTTTAAAATTTTCAATTTGTATGAACACTGTTATAAGTTGCGGTACTGTTAACAACAGTGAAAACTGGTATGTTAATATTTTATAATAAATGGCTAAATAATTATACACACATAACAGGCTATTTACAGTATAGCCATAAAAAATTATGTTGTAGAAAAATATAGCTAATGGCATGAGAAAAAAATAATAATAAAAATAAAAAATACAAAAATGTTTTAAAAGGCAGGGGGAGGTGGCTCAAGCCTATATAATCCTCGTGCTCTAAAAAGCCAACATAGGCAATTGTTTGAGCACAGGAGTTAGAGAACTCTCTCGTTGAGCAAGAACAAGACCTGTCTCTACTAAAAATAGAAGAAAAACTAGCCAAGCATAGTGGTGAGCACCTGTAGTCCCAGCTACTTGGGACACTGAAGCAGAAGGATTGCTTATGCCCAGGAGTTTGAGGTTGCTGTGAGCTATGATGATGCCGATGGCACTCAACCCAGGGTACAGAATGAGACTCTGTCTCAAAAAAAAAAAAAAAAAAAGATAAAATAAGTAAAATATAATAAAATAATGGCATGCGAAGTTTCATGATCTACTGTAAGATGAGAACAAAAGCAGTTTAAAAATAGTATATGTACGATACATTTATGTAAAATAAGTATCTATATACATAAAAAGTATAGTAGGAAGATAATATCAAAATATGAAAGGATAGTATCTTTGGATAATAGGTACACAGATTATTTTATTTTCCTTTTGACTTCTTTTAAAAAAATTTAACATCAGTGTATATTACTTTTATAACAAAAATAATTATAAAAAGTAAAATTAAAATTATAAAAAGTTATTTTTTAAAGTTTTAAATTCCATAACAAACAGACAATATATAATAATCAAAAGCTATCAGTTGTGTGGCGCTTGTGGCTCAGTGAGTAGGGCACCAGCCCAATATACCAAGGGTGGTAGGGTGGTGGGCTCAAACCTAGACCCGGCCAAACTGCAACAAAAAATAGCCAGGAGTTGTGGCGGGCACCTGTAGTCCCAGCTACTCGGGAGGCTGAGGCAAGAGAATCACATAAGCCCAAGAACTGGAGGTTGCTGTGAGCTATGATGCCAAGGCAATCTACCAAGGGTGATAAAGTGAGACTCTCCCTCTAAAAAAGAAAAAAAAAAAAAGCTATCAGTTTATAAAAGGTGTGGAAATTACCACACAGAGAATTTCAAAGCAGGTGTTTCAGGTTTGCCCAGGAGTGTATAATTAATTCCAAAATCACAATAATAATTATCCAGTTAACATATGCACATTTTATGAATATCTGATACTGTGTTATAATGATACAGTCCTTATATAGCAGAGGGAAAAAATGGAGAAACCATAGTTAAATATGGTTACCTGCCTGCCACACCCATAGTTTAAAAAAATAATTTTAAAATGGTTACCTAGTTACATGACACAAATCTAAATATAAAACATCAAAAGTTTCATGTCAAAATATCTTCAATAAGTCAAACAAATAAAATTTATAACTTTATTGGCTTAGGTGAATGATAAAACACACTATAGTAGATTAAAACAAAAAGTGACATTTATTGAATATAATACATATGTGGAAAGCATTAGATATCTATTCTCAAGGTGTTCACCCATGACATATTTCATATATGTGTTAGAAATATTACCTAAGAATTTAAAGTTCTAAAGTCATGGTTCTATTAGACATGAATGCCATAGGACTCATTATTACCTTAGGCTCAAGATTAAGAAACAAGGAACAAAAAACTACAAGATCTCAGCTAAGGCGCCAGCCACATACACCAGGGCTGGTGGGTTTGAATCCAGCCTGGGCCCACCAAACAACAATGACAACTACAACCAAAAAATAGCTGGGCATTGTGGCAGACACCTATAGTCCCAGCTACTTGGGAGGTGGAGGCAGGAGAATCGCTTGAGCCCAGGAGTTGGAGGTTGCTGTGAGCTGTGATGCCACAGCATTCTACCCAGGGTGACAGCTTGAGGCTCTGTCTCAAAAAAAAAAAAATCTACAAGATGGGGCGGTGCCTGTGGCTCAAGGAGTAGGGAACCGGCTCTATATACCAGAGATGGTGGGTTCAAACCCAGCCCCTGCCAAAAACTGTAAAAAAACTCACAAAAGTACAAGATCTTTCTCTTCACACAATAGTTCAGAACAGACCAAATGATTTAAAAGTAGTATTACAAAAATATCTAATAATTCATTATAACAAACTTCTACTTCAATTAATATCATTTTAGTTTGGGGAGATAACAGTACACTGAATGTTGTCCAACCCAGTGCCATTTGATAGGGTTTCTTAACTTTGCAAAACTTTTATGTTTGTTTTGCAGTTTTTGGCCGGGGCTGGGTTTTAACCTGCCACCTCTGGCATATGGGGCCAGTGCCTTCTCCTTTGAGCCACAGGAGCCGCTCTCCTAAGTGTTATGTAAATACAAACTGGTTTGTTTGCATTTTCATTTTTGTTTTTGAGACAAAGTTTCAGTCTGTCACTTGGGCTAGGTGTCATCATTGTCACTGCAACCTCAAACTCCTGGGCTAAAGCAGTCCTCCTAACTCAGCGTCCAGAATAAGTGAAATTACAGGTATGCACCCCCACACCCAGTTAATTTTTTTGTATTTTCAGTAAAGATGGGGTCTTGCTCTTGCTCAAGCTGTAAAAACTGCATTTTAATTTATATGGCTTTCTTAATAAGTGGTATATAATGTCAATAGAGATAGTGGAGTAGAGACATGAAGCTAAGGTTCACCAAATTTCAAAAAACTATAAAAATGTGTGGATTAGCTGAAAGGGAGAATGTACCGCTTAGAATCATGCCTTTCTAAATTGGGCACTTAAAAAATCAATGCCTAGGGTGGTGCCCATAGCTCAGTGGGTAGGGCTCCGGCCACATACACCAAGGCTGGTGGTTTGAACCTCCCCTCCCCCCGAAACAACAAATACCCGGGCAACAAAACTGCAACAAAAATTAGCCAGACATTGTGGTGGGCACCTGTAGTCCCAGCTACCTGGGAGGCTGAGGCAAGAGAATCACTTAAGCCCAATAGTTGAAGGTTGCTGTGAGCTGCGATGCTAGCACTGTACCAAGGGCAACATTGCAAGACTCTGTCTCAAAAAAAAAAAAAGGAAATATTTAAACAATGGCCAAAAACTTGTCAATGCTGGTCAAAGACATAAAATTTGGAACTAAATGGCTGGTCGTGCGTGGTGGCTCACACCTATAATCCTAGCAGTCTGAGAGGCCAAGGCAGGTAGATTGCCTGAGCTCACAGGTTCAAAACCAGCCTTAGCCAGAGTAAAACTGCTCTAAAAATCACCAGGCGAGGTAGCAGGCGCCTGTAGTCCCTGCTACTTGGGAGGCTGATGCAAAAGAATCGCTTAAGCCCAAGAGTTTGAGGTTGCTGTGAGCTGTGACAGTACAGCACTCTGCGGAAAGACTGTCTCCAAAAAAAAAAATTCAAACTCAAAAAGCTCTGCAAACTGTGAACAGGATAAATATGAAGAAAACCACACCTGGTAATCAAATTGCTGAAAACAAAAGATAAAGAGAAAAACCTTGAAAGTAGCCACAGAGGCTCGGCGCCTGTAGCTCAACCGGCTAAGGCGCCAGCCACGTACACCTAAGGTGGCGG